CTTAGCCTGTCAAACTGAGATATACAAAATAAATGACCCATTACAATATTAATTAATTCATTCAATCATGCACCTTCCGATCCGCTTTATGCTCACAAGGTTCGCGGGGGGTGCTGGAGCCTATCCCAGCCATCTTTGGGCAGTAGGTGGGGGACACCCTGAACCGGTCGCCAGCCAATCAAAGGGCACACACAGACACGTACAACCATCCAAGCCCATGCTCACACCTAGGGACAGTTTAGAGTGTTCATTCAGCCTGCCATGCATGTTTATTGCAATATTAATATCAAACAAATGAAAACACACAAAGAACGAGAGGTAGGAATAGACAAGTTTGTTGTACTTCCTCCGACACCCTCTCAAATCACTATTACCTGTTTATATGCCCAACAAACAAACACCCATCAGGAAGCGATAATGAAGGAGCAGGGTTAAGTACTGTGCATTTTTCTAGTGTCAAACATGACAACATAGCCATGCAAAATAAATGCCTAGCAGCTGACAAAAAACTTCATGGTAGTGTGCAGCAGGGCATCCATTTGTTTTTTTTGTTTTTTTTCTCTCCTAGCACTCCTCCAGCATGCAGAGTTCGCACCATACTCTGCTCAAGGCTGCCAAGTGGCTTAATCTACGCCACAACTGTCTTTGGTCAACACCACCTTGGGTGTGTGATTTTCAAAAATGCCACTGCTGACCTTAAAACGTGCAGCCAATCTTAAGTTAACGAAGCCAATTTCTAATTCTCCACACGTGAACTTGAAACATAAACATTGATTAAAGCTGGAAGATCTTGCTCTTGTGACGAACGAAATTAGAAATCCAGCCCGTGTATGCACAAATGGGACATGGCTTCAAATCTGACGTTTTTTCATGACTCAAACCAACTTGTATGATAGACGATATGATTGGTAGTTCACAGCTTCAACTCTAGTCATTAAATTTCATAATGAGGGAAGGCACAACACAATCCAATGACAGCAAAGTTGTTACTGAATTTACATAATTTCATGACACAAGACCATCATTTCTCCCACATCAGTAGTCGTGATGGCTCTTCTCATGTTTCAAGAGAAATGTGCATCTTGTGAACGTAATCTATAAAACAGTGTAATATAATCAGAACATTCTGGCAATTCGCAGCGTAACAGAAGCAGTTATAAAACAAATAAGAAGATAATTAAAACCCACAGACATGTAACAGTCACAAATCATCCAAATCAAGGCCTTCACTGTATACTTACACAATCTACCTCCTCCCAGATAGATAACAACATCCCACATACGTCCACTGACGACCACTTAACACAAACAAAATTTGCGTCTATGACTTACAAACAACTTTCTAAGCATCTCGTGACCTTCCGGCCCTTTTCAACCTAAACACATGATGACCTCCTCTTTCGTAACATCAATGTGTCAAACCTCACCTGCCTGTTCCTTTTTTATTCTCAACATACTCAACTTCCATTTTCACCTTACGTCTCACCATCAACATTTTCACTTGCCTTTCACCCAC